TTGTTGGTAATAATTAAATAAAGAATTAATAATAAATATTAAGATTTTATAATTTATAAACATTATTAAATAAATAATTTGTTTATACTTAAATATTGATGAAGCGCATTTATTTTACAAAAACTAAATTCATAAGTTCAACAGTAAAATTTAAAGGGTTTATAAATTTATACCTGCCTAATTAAACATTATATTGTTATTTTGGAAGTTATAAACTACTAGTACATATTTAATAAACGACGACATTGTCCAAAAAAGGATGGATAGTATAATCCAATATAAGTTTGACAATGACAGTTAATATAGAAGTAAAAACAAATAAATAAAAGTAATTATAACGCTCTAGCAACGATATTTAAACTTTCTAGTAACGTAGCAGCTACGTTCCAAATAGTAGCAGGGTTTATAGCTAGTGACATATTTGTTACCTTTTTGGAACTCAATAATTGTTCCCCACTTAAGTCGTAACTTAGTAATGAAAGAGTAATATACAGAGACGGTGACTGTCGCAAAAAACTTTAAAGTTTCTTCAATAGTCCCATATAGGTACGTAACAAATACTTAAATTGTTGCTTGGGTATTTTTTGTACTGAGGAGCTACGTATTTGTTATTTTCTTTTAGTTTTATAATTCTGTTTCATACAAAACCTATTTTATTAATGTTAATGCAATGTTTTATGTGCATTTATTGTGTCACTTGGAAAATATATTTTTTTATTGTGAAAAATGTCTTCTTCGTCATATGTCTCTTTTGTCACACTGCACTGGTATTGCCACGACATTAGAAATTAACTTAAAAATAAAAAACTCTTATTAAACTCTGATTAAAATTTGTGTCACTGTGTTTTAAGGGAATAAGTAACTAAGTACTAAATTTAAAAATTCACTTTAACAAATATAATTTTGAAACGGCGGTGTTATCAGAGTCAATTAATTACAAAACCGGAGCACTTAGTTAGTTGAGACAAAGGGCGCGCGCCTTAAAATTAATGACATTCCACGCATTGTAAACTAACCGTGTAATTTATTTCCTCTATAAAAAAAAATTTACCTCTACGCCCAACAAGTCACAGTGTGGGCGCGATGAGCAACCCTTTACGTTTTACACTTTCAACTTGCATAACGATTTTATTTTAATGCTTTTTATTTTGGAGCGTCCGCTGGGAGATTTATAGTCGATAGATTTGGATCTAATGCCTATTTATAAGGCCGTTTAATTACGTGGATGTCTTTATATGACCGTCTAGGTGGGTACAAAGCTTAAATTCTACATACGATTTTACAACCAATTACTTACAATTTTAGTGTTTTTTTGTAATTGCATAATATTATGATTAGTACTCTTGCAATGTCCCAAAAATAAATTTTTAAATGATAGGTACAATACAATAAGTAGGGTTATAAAAATGTTTTAGTTCTAGAAAGCAATTCTGCTAAAAGATCACCCTGTATAGAAAAACCCCGAACATAAAAAATCCCGCTATAATAAATTTCTCGACGATATGTACAGTTACGGAAAGAAGTAATGTCCATTTGAATGCTCCATTGTAATTGTTCGGAGGCATTCGGGTTTTGCTAATAAAATTAACATATCTATTTTTAAACTCAATAATTCTACCTACCTGCTATTTACCATTCTTTCTAAGCACATTTCATTTGACTTTTAAGCTTTTATGCAATAATTAAATATTTAAGGAATAACATTGATTCTGAAATAATTTAAATAAAATACATATATATGTTCTATAACTTATTAAATAAACTATATATTATTTAATAAGTTGTTATTAATAAAATAATATATTTAAATGAAATATAGACAATTAATACTAAAATAATTATAAATTAAACTAAAATGCATTTTGTGCACTATTAATACGTTTTTCTACTTCTATTGCATATTATTGAAATTTTTTGTTTTTTTTTTTGCGTAAATAATGGTAACCAATATAACCGCCATGCCTATCAAAGTGAATTATATTATATTATTATTATATTCACGTTGTTAGGTATCAGTGATTGGCTTATTTTAATATTCACTGTTATTTGAACCAATCGGGTTTTAAATTAGAAAAAAGTAAGGTTGACAGATGTCAGATTTATTTATATATACGAGGGGCGACTATAATGATCTTTAAAATAGGAGAAAAGTGAGGTTATAATAAATTTTGTTATCAATGAAAATTACTTAATTGGAGTAGAAAAAACATAGTATTACACTCGAAATAATGCGCATTATTTACTCGGATGAATTACGTATCTCGCCTTTCGGCTCGACATGCAAACCTTATCCTTTTGAATAATAGCCTGCATTATCTCTCGTATTATAAATAATAATATACTATCATCAACATTTTAGTTTTCATTACTTGTTTTATGAAATATCTGCCCAATACCAACTTATTTCAATGTATAAAAATACAATAAAATATGGAAACGGCATAAATTTATAATTATTATAATAATTTAACTTGGTATTCCCAAATGCTCTAAGTGTCAAAAATAAAATTGTGAGAAATCAATGAAAATCCATCCATCTTTAAAATACAAAAATAATATGAAGAACATTTTTTTAGTCGTTTTGCATGGCACATAGACTATTTTTAAATATAATATAATATTTGACCAAATTTGGTCCAAACCCTTTGGCAAAACCGGCTAAATCCATTTTATTCAGTTTTTGTTTTTTTTTGATTTCGCATCTTTGGGTTCATTTCTATCGACAACCAAGATAATTTTGTTTAAATCCGACTATATCCATGTTAAAATCACATTTAAAAGGTAGCTTTAGGAGCAAAACCGGCCAAATCCACGTTTTTATAGCAAACCCGGCTATATCCAATAAATAATAATGATGATGAGCATGCATGTGGCTTGGATATGTCGATACTATTAATAAAATTTGTTCTATTTTTTCATGTTTGCACTAAATTTATTTTGTTAATATTTTTGAATAATAAAGGTTTTTTTCACATTTTATTCGTTTTTTATTCGGTTGTTGAGCAAAACCGGCTTTATACAAAACATTTTTTGAAATTTTGGCCTTAATATAAAGTTTTTGAAAACGAAAGTATGTCTTATAAATCAAGTACCACAAAGCCCACAAAATTCAAGTTTGCTTTTTCTTTTATCTGTAAAGGCCAGGAAACCGAGAGTTTTTGCCATTTTCCCAACATTTTATTAAAGTGGATATAGCCGGTTTTGCACGGATTCTCCTCAATTATTAATGTAATTATTTACCATTTCTTTTTAAATAAAAAGGCAGCTTTCTTTGCTCATGGTTTTAGATAATATTTTCCTAAAAAAGGGTCCTACTAAATTTTACCATAAATTTTGTTTCGCTAAAAAAGTTTGAAAATCTTGAAAATTTCTATAAATTCAACTTTTACCTTGAATACCTTTTAAAAGAGCATTACCAAAATTTGTTTCAGTTTTACTAATCCGAGTTAAACTATTTTAAAGTATTTTAAAAAAATCTCATTTTATTTTAATGCATGGGAAATAAAAATTCCCGATGAAGGACCCGTAAATATAATATTAAGAGCTTACATTTAAACAGGACCATTTTTTGAGATTCTGAACAATATTTTTGAGGTGCTTTAAAAATAAATATTCGATTTTTTTGTATAAGTGTAATAATTATAATATAATATTTTTTATCAAATATTCAAAAAATGTTCCTACATTTAAAATATTAATATGAAAATTTAAAATATTAATATGAAAAAATAAGAATAAATGTTTATAAAACTATACAAAAATATATCAAAAAATTAACGATTTAATAAAAATAAAATAAAATGTAAAATACCCAAAATAATTAATTCAATACGAGTAAATCCCTAAGAGGCAGATGTTGACCATTTCCGAATGCCTCCGAACAATTACAATGGAGCATTCAAATGGACATTACTTCTTTCCGTAACTGTACATACCTTAAGGCTTTTAAATCCCATTCATATTTATGTTTAGGCCTACCTTTAGTTCATAGCAGGGAAACGATGGCAGTTTAGTAAAAACAATAAATCTCTTAGGGCATTTCCCTTACCAACAATATCGGAGATTGTCGCCATTTTTGCGCGAAGCGATAGACATAATAAAAAAGGCTATATAAGGAAAATGCATTACTATTTCGCGCCGGAAATGGCCCCCCTGGGAACGAGCCTAAACTCACGGCGTATTATTTTCGCGGTTCACCAAAAGTGAATCTGCAGTTTTAGCTTTAATAACTTTTTTCCATCTCTACACACCTTATATTCGCTCCCTTGTGCCTTTTTCAACATTATTTGCTTTTAAAAACATTATTTTTTACTATTTAAAAACGTTGTTTACTTCTAAAACAATTATTTAAATCGCATACTTTTTTAAAAAGACAAAAAAAACATACCAATCTTGGGATTCGAAGTAAATGAATTTTTTCCTTTGTTACGCCATCTATGACTAAATACACGAATATTTAACACTTTACCGTTGGTTAAGAAATTACATAATAAATTCAGTTATATATTTTCCCCAATTTTAGCTTTAAAAAGGTTTTTTTGCTTGAACACTCATTATTAAAATAAAAATCTTTTTGTCGGATTATCGCCATCTATAATAGAATACACGAACCCACCAAAGTTCTTAAGTACACTACGAGATGGCGCTAATATTATTATTTAATGTTTTCTTTTTAAACACTAAATTAAATAGTGTATTTCTTTATTAAATCAGCAGTACATAATATGTATTATTATAGATATTATCTTGGTACTAAATACAACAATTATTGTGTTTTTTTACTTTTATTACCCTTTATATGCAATTGAAATTAATTTTATGTTGTCAGCACTGCCTTTGGTTCAAATATTTTGACAGATGACGCTAGTTTAAAAGATTGTCAAAAACATAAATAGAAAAGTGATTTATATAACATTTATTTAATACATAATGACATCAGAGACTAACTTAAATATAAAAATACATCAATAAAAACGAAGACAAAACAAAAAATGCGATAATTACTTATTTACCGATTCAAAGTAACTTTTTGAAGCTTTTGGATCAGGTTTTATGGTTTTTCCGCCTTTTTTCCAATTTGCGGGACACACTGAAACAAAAAATCAGGTTTTAAGGTAAGTTTTTTACATTTTATAATTTTACCTTCTCCATGTTCTTCTACAAATTTAAGAGCTTCTATTATTCTTAAAGCTTCATCAACTGACCTTCCAATGGGCAAATCGTTAATTGTAATTTGTCTTAAAATGCCATTGGGGTCAATTATAAACATTCCTCTTAGAGCGATACCTTCTTGCTCAATCAAAACGTCATAGCTCCTTGATATATCCTTATTAATATCGGACAATAGTGGGTAACGAAGCTTTCCCAAACCCCCCTCCTGTAGATATTGAATTATAAATTTTTTTTATTATTTTCGAGGTTATGTTAACTTACCGAACGTTTGGTGTTCATCCAACCCAAATGACTGAACTGTGAGTCGATGGAACAACCAATGACTTCAGCATTTAAAGCTTTGAAATCATCGATTCTTTCATCCAATGCTATAAGTTCCGTTGGGCATACAAAAGTGCTAAAATAAGTCAAAATAAATAAAAAATATGAAATTTTAGTATTTAACTTACAAATCTAGTGGGTAAAAGACTAACACTACATATTTTCCCTTGTAGTCGCTCAATTTGATATTTTTGAAGCTGTCATTTATAACAGCCACGCCACTAAATTCTGGAGCTGGTTGTTGTACTTTTGGGCCAAGTAATTGTGGACCTAAATAATAGAAAAATCGTAAAAATGCTTACATCAATTTTAATACATACATAAACTGATATTTCTTGCCAAATTTTGCCTCAGTACTGGGGTTGCTACTTTCATAAGTTGCGGTGCCTGAAATTTTGGTTTTTTAATGGGATTTTTCGCTATTATAACGTGATATTTACCTTTCTGGCCAAAGAAGTAAATAAACTTGCCATTTTATATAGGTAGGTATCACAGGTTTAGATTGAAAATGATTTGCAAGTAAATGTTACGAAATTTTGAGGTTATCTGGCCTGTCAAGTTGAATCGGATTTTTATGCAGTCAAAATTTTTAGGACGGACTTTTATGCATTACAAATTATTTTGTAAAAATTTATTTTGTACAAAAATATTTATAAATTAAATCACAGATCATTACTATTACTAAATTTGTGGGTTTACATTTTGCGTTACGGCGTTGTACTTTTGTATTTTCTCCAATTTTTGTTTTCTTTTAAAATAACAAAACCATATGATAACAATCGGTATAAATAGAACAATGGGGATCAAAAACAACGAAAATAGAGAAAACGCATCCTCCTTGTAAACATTCGGTACATGTATATCAACCGATTTATTGTATTTTCCATAATTTGTTAAAGCAACACAAACATATGTGCCGGAATCGGTAAACTCCCCGTAAAACTTCAACTTGCTTATGTAGCTCGCGTCGGTGTTATACAGGGTGACCCCGTGTCGTATGTGGCAGTAATATTCGCCATCTTCTTTTATGCTGCTTTGTTGCCACGATTCGCACTTCTTGAACCATATTATTTGCACCGGAAGTTTGCTGGAGACGTTGCAACGCAGCGTGAAGTGGATTGTGTTGTAACTTGTAGTATTGGCAACGTCCAGGGATACAGAAAAAATTTCTGAACCTAAAAAATAATTTTTTAAAGTGAAATAAAACAAAAAAAATGATAAGACTTACTTGCTTCTTTCAGAATCCACATTTTTTTTACTTTTCCTTTTTGCAGACATCTGTAAATACCAGCCATGTTTTTAACGAAATGCATATTTAAATTTGGTTTATTTTTAAATTCTGGTAAATAATTCCATGAGTTTTTGTTTTTCAAACTATAAATTTGTGCCGTATCGCATTCTTCATCCTGATAGTTTTTAATACAGGGCATTTTCTCCCAGTTTACTTTTGGTTTGTTCTTATAATTATTCTTTAGGCAATTTAAAGTTATATTGCTCCCGTCTTTAATAGTTAAAGTGTTAAAAAGGGTTGGTTCGTAACGGAATCGGGCATTATAACCTAAAATAAATTTAAAAAAATTTTAATGTATTTTTACCATTTTTTTGTATAAATAATTTATATATATTTTTTTAATTGTACGTATTTCCCAATTTTTTGTTATTAGGTTTAACTGTATTTATTTTCTTTAGATAAACGGTAAATACAGTAAATTTTATAACGCAAGTGTTTACATTGTTTTAAAGATGGGTAAACATATGCCTTCTAAAACGGTTTGTATATGTATTTCAGTAAATTTATATTATATACAGATTAAATACACCTTGAAAAAATTGACGAGTTTTATTGTTTGTTTATTTTTTGGATTAAGTTTGGTACACATTAAAATAACCATTTAGGTCGTAAGCAAACAAAAATAAAATTATTTAATGAAAAATATTGTTGGTTTTTTTATTTGGGAGTTCAGTTGATTGCAACCAATTGTTAAATATTTTTTTATTTAGTTTTCACTGGTTTGAATCCCAGTAAAAAAAACGAACAATATCTTTTTAAATATTAAAAACATACAACTTACCTTCGGTACTATCACAAAAAATATCCCAAAATAAAGCAGATAAACTTATAAAAAATAGCAAAAATTTCATGTTTTCATTCTTGATTTTTTGTTGTTTTTAGATGTGTAACTTTTAAGTAGTTCCCATATCAAATAGCTTCTTACAACTGCGTTAAGTAGGAAGATAATCGATATATTTTAAAATTAAATCGTTGAGGTCTGCGTTAAATCTTCCGAATCCAAACATTTACTCAAAAACGTCAAAATAGATGGCCGGGAAATATGTTTTCACTGTAACAATTTGTGTATTTTCAAACGCCGGGTTTTATATTTATTACGGTGCCCCGACGTTGATGTATGTCGCTTACTAAATTTATTTTAATTATATTAATACTTTTTCTTATCTTGCTTTATTTACAATGGATTTTTTATATTTTATTTAATTAAACTGGGAAACACGGAAAATGGTGCAGGGTGTTAAATTGGTTTTGAGTTCAGTTCTTGTTTTTAAAATATATTTTTTTATATATTTAGGTGAATATATTGAGATGTCCCCCAAGTGAAAATGATTATTTTTTATTTTTGGTTGATTCACTGTTATTCTAGAATGGGGTTTTTGGGAAGCCACCAGGTCTAGAAATAACATAACATAAGTGGTTCTGCACTAATGCAAGAATTTTAAGAAATCATACATTTTGAATATTAGAGCTTCACGGAGGTTAGGATTTCGTATGTTTTTTTTGCTTATTTAAAATGATTAAAGCGCCATCCGTTGCAAAAAATTAAAAGCAAAAGCAGATTCACGGAGGATAGAATCAATTTTTGTAACACCTACATAAATGGTTATAAAAATTATTTCTTTTAATTTTTAGTAATATTTGATTCGATTGCTTTGGATGTGTTTAATTTACTTAGTGAACTGATATTTTTAGTATGCTTTTACTACCTTAGATATTTGAAAACATATTAACCTAGAAAGAGTAACAGTCATGGAGGATAGGTTTTAGACTTTTAAAACATTGTAAAAAATAATTAATTGCGGTTAAAAATCTGAACCTGAGCTGTAATATATAATTAAGAAAGATTAAAACACAATAAAAGTGTAGGTCAAACTTATTTAGTTTTATTAAATATCACGGGGTAACACCATCGGGGAACATTTCGTGAGATTCACCCATTTAATTTAATTTTAAAACGTGCAAAAATGTATAAACTGGATGTGATATGGTAAAAGTTATTAACACTATGATACATAAATTAAAATTATTACGATTGGATTTCACATTTTTGTTTCTAAAAATGTATAATATTGAAAAGCTTGAAAAACACACCAGACTAAACTCCCAGCACCATTTTTCGTGTTTCTCTGTATAGTTTTTTAAGCAAAATTTATACTTGGGGCACCGTTTGATAACCACAGACTACTGTATTTGTTAGATTTGTATGAATTGTTCAAATAAAAGGGGAGATACTGATAATGATAATCAATATTTGTTATCAAACGACCATATATGTAAATTGCCTACTGAGTATTATCTATTATACACCTTTGTAGTTAATTAAGATTGTTATCAATGAAAAATATTACATGAAAAATGTGCAATGCATAATAAAACTTGTATTAAAACTAAAAGATTTATTAATAAGACACAAATAAAATTTACCATAGTAAAAAAAATAATTGGTATTAAGAAATAATTACAAATATATCACAGTTTTTTGTACATAAACTTATAACACTGTTTTTTTTATCTAAAATAAACATAAATATTATTTAAGCATGCAATATTATTAATTCTTATTACCAATTAAGCGCCTCGAGTTATCGTCAAAAAAAGGTGGGCTGAAAAGTATTCATCTTATAATAAAAATACAAAAAGTGATATGCACGCTCTCGCAATTGAGATCGTGCATCTCACCGTCGTTCGCGTCATCGCTCGCTATATAAGTTTATACTTTGCTGTACGACGGCTGAGCCCGATGACGCTCCTCCATGTCCATCTGCTTGACCCTGGCGTATCCTGCGGAACCCAGCAGGACAATCAAGTTCGAGCACCACCACAGCGCGGACTTCGTCTCCTGGTACCAGTAGGTGGCCAGCACCGTTTGCGCGCATGCCTTCGCCGTACCGGAAATGTTGTGCGTCAGAGCGGAAGTGAACTGAAAACGAGATTTCAGGTGGTAAACACTGAGTTAATGCAAAGTTAACAGTTTTTGCGTTTTTTATTTTTTTGTACTCCTACTTCATAAAATTGGAATTATTTTTTTTTGTTATAGGTAATATTAGTTAAATTAAAATAACTAACTAAAAAATATATATATAATATAATTTTTAATTTATATATAGTCAATTTAAACCAAATATTTAACTTATTAGTAATATTACCAATATGTTTCTTATATTATTTAAATTATACTACAGTGCTTGCAAATCCAAGTCCGACCGCACTGGAAAGGACGGCTGTTCAATACCCGCGTGAAAAGAACAAGGATAGAACGCCAAATAGAATTTGATTGGCCAGAGCCCCGGATGCGTGCGAATTGTAAGCGAGGTCAACTCTCAGTCTGGCTGCATTTAGACTAAATGATTTAGTGTTAAGCAAACTGCGTTAGAGTGTAGATGCACATTTTAATTTTCTTTTTAAATATTTTATACCTGAATCCTAAAAATAAAATTGTTTGATTTTTTTCCTTGAGAACTAGGGCAACAACAAAAATAGTATTCTTAATAAAAAAGATTTCTCAAATAAAAAATAATTCTGAATAAAAATAACTATAAATAAAAATAAAACTCTAAATAAAAATAAAACTCTAAAAATAAATAATAAAAATAAATAAACTCAAAAATTAAATTAAATGTTCGAACAAGCCCCCATAGGCAGCCAAACAATAGCATAACCTATTATAAACATTCCCGTCGGAACTGCATCGGAACTACACAACCGTGCGTGAGAAAATTATTAACGTTTCGTCGAATTGTTTCTCTGTTTGGTCTGGCCTCGAACATTCCCGCAAATAATCTTTGAATTTCTCGTTCAGAATTACCAGCAAAGTGCCAGATTAAAATCTGAACTTTTTGTTGCAACGTGTACATTTTTTAATTAAATAATCTTTTTTACTAAAATTACTACCTCTTGCTGGCACCACTGCAGTTCTCGTTCTGATATCCTCGACTCGAGGCAAGCACGCTGCAAGGTGCGCGATGGGTATGCGTTGTCGTAGCCTGCCGGCTCTGGCCAATCAAATTCTATTTGGCGTTCTATCCTTGTTCTTTTCACGCGGGTATTGAACAGCCGTCCTTTCCAGTGCGGTCGGACTTGGATTTGCAAGCACTGTACATTTAATTTATATTGTTGTAATGGCAACTTGTTGGTAAATTTAAAGAATTATTATTAACCTTAAAAAAATGTTAATGGTTTAATACAACTAATTGGTTAAAAAATAAGTTTAAAAAACCCTATTTTATGGTAACCATAACCTAACAACGGGAATAATAAACTCATTCACGTTGTCAGGCATCAGTGATTGGCTGATATTAAGTGAGGTTATAATAAATTTTGTTATTAATAAAAATTACTTAATCAGATTTACGTCTCACGCCTGACAGCTCGCAAACCTTTGTCTATGTATTTAAAGTTAAACTTTTCCACAAAAATCTATCAGTGAGTAATGTTCCCAGATTTAAAAAATGCTTTGTTGTCATATGTATATAAGGCAACGTTGCCAAATTTTAAAAATGGGATACACGATTTTGACATATTTTATTTTTTTGACAAATAAAAAAAAATGGTTTGACAGCTTTTTTAAATATTGCGATGTTGCCAAATCGTATAAAACATGAAAATCTTTTTATTTTTTATTAAGATCCTTAAAATTGTACAAAAAACACATTTTCAGAAAAATCAATTAACTTTGCTATTATTATTGGATTATTTATGTTGCGACGTCAGATCAATAAAATTGCGATGTTGCCAAATTTTAAGAAACATTTTGACACATTTTTTACAAATTTGGAAAAATTGTATAAACAAAATATTGCGTTTTTCGTGCAAAATTGTCAGGTGTATAAAAATGCGACGTTGTCATATATACAGTGTTGCCAAATTTCAGAAATATTATTGTTTTTTACCTTGATCCTTGATTTAAAAAATGCGAAATATTTTATTTTTTCACAAATTTTGAAATTTTACAATAAACAGATTTTCAGAAAAATCAATTAACTTTGCTATTATTATTGGATTATTTATGTTGCGACGTCAGATCAATAAAATTGCGATGTTGCCAAATTTTAAGAAACATTTGGACACATTTTTTACAAATTTGGAAAAATTTTATAAAGAAAATATTGCATTTTTCGTGCAAGATTGTCAGGTGTATAAAAATGCGATGTTGTCAGATTTACAGTGTTGCCAAATTTCAGAACTATTGCTGTTTTTTTACCTTGATCCTTGATTTAAAAAATGCTTTGTTGTCAAATATAAGGCAACGTTGCCAAATTTTAAAAAGGGGATACACGATTTTAAAAAAATAATTTATTTTTTGACAAATTTTGAAATTTTACAAAAACACATTTTCAGAAAAATCAATTAACTTTGCTATTATTATTGGATTATTTATGTTGCGACGTCAGATCAATAAAATTGCGATGTTGCCAAATTTTAACCCTTAAGCAGGCACGCGGGGTGTACAAAACACCCCAGCTTCCTAAATATACCTACCGGTCTCAATTCGTTTCGAATAAATGGCGCTTACTTTCAGTACCTTCCTGTCAAAGTATTGTCAGTCATATTATATTGCCGATTTCGAAGTTAATGTAATAGGTTGTCTGATATTTTGTTTCAAACAGGCTCTGGGTGCTGTGGACACCCCGTGCGCCTTTCCACGTACAATTATTTTGCATTAATTTGTGAAGCTGATTTCTTCAACTTTTGTTATTACTTCACATTAAATAAGGTTATACCCTGTAAAAAAGTAATTGGAACGCACGACAAAATATTTATTTTTATCTTGAAAGCATTGCGTTATGTTTTGCTTGTTTCCGTTCGTTCTAATATTTTATGTAAACAACAAATAAAAATTTGCCAAAATTTCTCCGCCCAATAATTTTCAAATTATCAGTTGCCGGTAAAGAAGGGCAGATTTGTAATTTGTCCAAGGCATGGCTTTTTGCAAAAAGTAGAAGGTGTGCCAAAAACATGTGCATAAAGCACAGGAAAAATGTTTGTAAAGAAAGCTTTGATTCCATAGTAAATTCTAGTATCGAAATTGAGTGACTTTGAGCAGGCTGGGTTTCACCTCCCTATTGACTTTTCTTTACCAAATCATAATTACTTGTAAAAGTAAACCTTATCTTATGTGCTTAGTGTTTTTTTTTTGGTTTTTATTATTGTTATGACTTTTAAAATTTGTGTTTTTTAAATTAATGCTTTATTTTATTAAAATTGTCGTCTTTTGACATTTTCTTTTTTTTGTCATCTTTTATCAAATTTGAACGCAACGAAATATGTTCTCATTGTCTCTAAGCTCATCATAACTTGATAATTTTGAAAAAAAAACAAAAAAAATGTAAATAACACTCAGGGACGCTTTGCCATCAGGGGTGTCCCTGACACCCCGCGCGACCTTCTACGTTGCATAAAGAGGTGCGCCTGCATAAGGGTTAAGAAACATTTTGACACATTTTTTACAAATTTCAACAAAATATTGCGTTTTTCGTGCAAGATTGTCAGGGATATAAAAATGCGACGTTGTCAGATTTACAGTGTTGCCAAATTTCAAAAATATTACTGATTTTACCTTGATTTAAAAAAATGCTTGGTTGTCAAATATAAGGCAACGTTGCCAAATTTTAAAAAGAGGATACAGGATTTTGACAAAATATTTTATTTTTTGACAAATTTTGAAATTTTACAAAAAACACATTTTTAGAAAAATTAATTAACTTTGTTATTATTGGATTATTTATGTTGCGACGTCAGATCAATATTGCGATGTTGCCAAATTTTAAGAAACATTTTAACACATTTTTTACAATTTTGGAAAAATTGTATGAACAAAATATTGCAAGATTGTCAGGTGTATACAAATTCGATGTTGTCAGATTTACAGTGTCGCCAAATTTCAAAAATATTACTTTTTTACCTTGATCTGTAAAGATGTGAAAAATCCGATTGCAAAGCCGCAAATTCCTCCGATTGTAATGAAGCCCCAAAAATAGAGGTCATCGATGTTTTTGTAGTTTGTTAATTCTGATATTTCTCCATTTAAAATCATCATGGGTAGGAACAATATGGTTGCATATACATTATTTGCATAAGATAGCGCCCATATTTCGCCGTTTACTTTAGGTAGAACTTTTTTGGTAAGAATGGAGAATAAGGAAAGTGATAATGAACCAGCAATTCCAAAGAATGTGCCGATAACAGATAAATCACCTAAAAATATATTTTTATAGTTTCATACTGTTAAATATATATTTTTATAGTTGGTATACCTGCTGTATGTTCTTGATCAACTCCTAAGTAGAAACCAAAAATTATTACGAGGCAAAAAAATATACATCTCTTTGATGTAGTTTCGCCCAATATAAAATAGGTTAAGGTTACGTTAAATATTGTTGTTAAAGATCTACCAATGTAGTAAAAAGCCACAGAAACGTATTTTAAGCACAAATTATTTGTTGCTATCATAGTGGTGAACATAATTGAAACTGGCAAAATCTAGAAAAATATATAAAAAAACACTTTGTATAATTTGTATGAATATCTTACAGCCTTAATTGTGTACCAGTCAGTAACATCAGTGAGTGGAAATGAGAATCTGTCTGGGTACATTTTGCTCAACTGTTTTTTCATTAAACAAATCAGCACCGTTATTAGGGTCTGACTGAAATTTATGAAAAAAGGGGCATCTAAATGCAAATCGCTTAGAAGTGTTTTGTTTATAAACACTGTACATATTGAAACAACCCTAAAACAATTTTTTCCAATTAGATTTATTTAAAATACCCGCCCTAGACGGCATTTGTTTATGTGGCATAACATAACCTATAAATTAAATAAGTTGTTTTTTAAAGATAATAATTATCGACGGTGTTTAATAAATGAATACTTACCAGTATCCACTGACAACTAAAAATATAGCCAAATATTTTGACAATAAAGTTTGATTTTCTTGTGCCATAACTTTGTTAATTTTCCGCACTAGTTAATTCCTAAAAAATAGATAAAGCACGTATGATTCTTATCAAAACTCATGTGTTTGTGTTTTTATTATCGAATTATTTACTTAAACATTATAACAATTCTCAAAATTATTTTATTTATTTCAACAGGCCTTTAAAAGCAACACAGCGTTGCCAAATGTAAAACCATAGACATACAACCCTAGAGGGAAACAAAACAATTTCGTATTTTTATAACAAAAATTATAATTTAACACAAATTTTAACAGTCTCTTTAATATTTACAAATAAAATAAAAATCCTTTAAAATAAATAAACATTCTACAAAATTTGTCATTTGTCATAAACTTAAAAATTACGAATGGTGGATATTTTTTACATCACTTAGTAGTAGGGGACTCCCATATTGTTGCCACATTTCGATGGACTTGTTGGCTATGACGTCGGCTATTTCATCTGGAATCTAAAAAAAATTGTTGTTTTTTTCGAAATTATTTTAGTTTATAAATTACTTCTTTGAGGCAATTTTGGGCATCATATATTTCTGTACATTTTAGTAATTTGCTTTTGAAATTAATCAGTAATATTGTAGCTACAAATGCCATGATTTTAACTGAACCAGCTACAAATTTGTCCCATATTCTAAAAATGTTATGGTTTAACTTTTATTATTATTAAAAAAAAAATATGTAGGTATAATTAAAATATTTCATACTTTCCCAAGGCTGTCTCATTTAAAATTCCAGCAAAACAACATATAAACCACTTGTCCAAAGGCAGATTCTCTAGAATACCATTTTTCCTTAAATGTTTATATAAATTGTTATCCTCTTTTTCAAGTAATACACAGGAAACATTGACTAAACTTCTGATTTCCCTATGTATTGATAACGTTTTAGCATACAAATTCCTTGATAGCCAATAAATATCAACATCGTCGTCAAAAAACTGCCCAAATGATTGCACAATAGCCAAAAAACCTTTGTTGTTAATTAAATTCATATCGATAGAAAAATTGCCACTCTGTAAAAGCCACATAGCCAAAAATACTTGCGATTTCGGCGTATTTACATCAACACTCCTCAAAACTTTAACAGCGTTTAATAAATCGTTAAACTCTTGTTTCCTCTGGTTCATTATAAACGTATGGCACTCTACGTGCACCGGAACGACATCTGAAATTCAAATTTAGCGCCCTCATTGTACCAACAGTAAAAAGTTAAATTACCCAAGAGGAGTTTCCAGAGCAAGTTTCTGTAAGCAATCGGCACACAAAAGCCCAAGCAAAACTGTTTTAGCTTCCTTCTGTCTAGGGGTTTGTCTTTTAATATAATTTCCAATGATTTCTTTTCTTCAACACTTCTGGACGCTACTTTATCATAATAGGCCGACCTAAAGTTCTTTTCGTCGGCGGCCATCTTTGCACAGCGTTGCCATTTACTCCACAATCCACACAACATGTGGATTGTGATTTACTCTACTTTACATATCAATAAATAAAATGTTTAGACTCTAAACATTTTATTAAGAGCCCTAAAACATAATGCATTGCATAAAAATGATATAGTTTTAACCAAGGATCATTTAAATTTCGCAAACGGTGCCTTTTTTTCATAATTTTAAATTTTGGAGATTTTTTGTTTCTCACCATAGGCAACCCAGATTACATTAATCTCAAAACTTAGGTTATGTTTACTTAACCTCATTTTATACATCTGTCAAAATGAATACACAGAAACTGTTAAATTTAAGGGGTAATATAATGATAACTAACGTAGATTTCGATTTAAAATGATTGTTTTTAGTTCCCGTCGTGTCTTTGGTACAAAAGTGTGGATTAAAACATTATCAAGCACCTCCCAAATATGACCGTAAGAATTGTATGATTTTTTGTGAATAAATTGTAATAAAGTGTGTTTTAGATGTTGAATTTCCGGAAAAACCAAAACTTAAATACATTGATAAGGTCCCACAGCTACCTGCTGCAATTAAACCACCAAAAATGCAAAAAAACTTAAAGCTAATGAGAGGCCCCGAGCCAGTACACAATTTTTTGTTACATAAACAATATGGCATCATGGTAATTATTCTAAATATTTATGCATAACTGTATCAAAAATAAGATACTTTGTAGGCTTTATGTGGAGGTAGAATAAAGTGGGGTCATTTCGAAATGATGAGGTTAACAGTTGGTAGAAAAATGGACTTGAACAGAATGTTTGCTGTTTGGAGGATAGACTCACCTTGGCAACCAATCACCAAGAAGGGTCAAGGTCAACGTATGGGGGGTGGTAAGGGAGCCATAGATCACTATGTTACCCCCGTTAAAGCAGGTAAAGTTAATAGTTTTTGAGTTTTAGGATTTTCAAAATGTTATTTTTGTTATTTTTTTTGTTTTTAAACTTTATATATTTATAAGCAATTTATATATTAAAATTTTTGGAAAAATTGGTTGCTTCAAAAAAAAAGATTTTTGTCCAGAAACATTAAAAACCGAAACTTGGGGAAAAACTTCTGTTTTATTATTTTAAAGTATCTTTAATTATTTTACTCGTGTTTATTCTGTTTTCTTTTTTGTTTTATTCAAGGTTTTGACTTTATTCTGTAGTTTTTTAATTCTACTGCTTCTCTAAATAATAAACTTGTTTAAATTCTAACTTCAGGACAAATAATTCTGGTAATATGCTGTTATTTTTATTATTTTAATATTTTATGACTTTATTTAATTATATGCAATTTATAAACAACACATTTTTTTAATAAACAGTTTCTGTGTAAAAAAATATACATTAAAAGTTTGAATTGTCTTTAAGGATTAAATTGATGGATATCTGGCATAGAGATTTAAAATTTCTAGAAAAATTGGTTTCCCCGAAAAAACCGCTTTTTTCCAGAATTAAAAAAAAAAACGAAAACTTGGGAAAAACTATTTTTCTGTATTATTATTTTAAAGTATTTTTCATTATTTTATTCTTGTTTATTCTATTGGTTTTCTTTTTATTCAACTTTTTGACTATATTCTAAAGTTTTTAATTCTGCTGCTTCTCTAAATAATAAACTTGTTTAAATTGTTCAGGACGAATATTTTTGGAAATATGCTGTTATTTTTATTATTTTAATATTTTAAGACTTAATTTATTTATACGCAATTTATAGAGAACACATTGTTTTAATAAACAGTTTCTGTGTAAAAAAATATACATTAAAAGTTTGGATGTCTTTAAGGATTAACTTGATGTTTGTTTTTGATGGATATCTGGCATAGAGATTTAAAATTTCTAGAAAAATTGGGTTCCCCGAAAAAACCGTTTTTTTTCAGAATTAAAAAAAATCGAGAATTTGGGAAAAAAACTATTTTTCTGTATTATTATTTTAAATTATTTTTCATTATTTTACTCTTGTTTATTCTATTTGTTTTCTTTTTATTCAACTTTTTGACTATATTCTGAAGTTTTTAATTCTACTGCTTCTCTAAATAATAAACTTGTTTAAATTGTAAGTTTAGGACGAATATTTCTGGAAATATGCGGTTATTTTTATTATTTTAATATTTTAAGACTTTATTTATTTATACGCAATTTTTAGAGAACCCTTTGTTTTAATAAACAGTTTCTGTGTAAAAAAATATACATTAAAAGTTTGGATTGTCTTTAAGGATTAACTTGATGTTTGTTTTTGATGGATATCTGGCATAGAGATTTAAAATTTCTAGAAAAATTGGTTTCTCCGAAAAAAACGTTTTTTTCAGAATTAAAAAAAAATCGAGAATTTGGGAAAAAAACTATTTTTCTGTATTATTATTTTAAATTATTTTTCATTATTTTACTCTTGTTTATTCTATTTGTTTTCTTTTTATTCAACTTTTTGACTATATTCTGAAGTTTTTTAATTCTACTGCTTCTCTAAATAATAAACTTGTTTAAATTGTAAGTTCAGGACGAATAATTCTGGAAATATGCTGTTATTTTTATTATTTTAATATTTTAAGACTTTATTTATTTATACGGAATTTGCAGAGAACACATTGTTTTAATAAACAGTTTGTGTAAAAAAATATACATTAAAAGTTTGGATTGTCTTGAAGGATTAACTTGATGTTTGTTTTTGATGGATATCTGGCATAGAGATTTAAAATTTCTAGAAAAATTGGTTTCCCCGAAAAAACCGTTTTTTTCCAGAATTAAAAAAAATCGAAAATTAGGAAAAAAAACTATTTTTCTGTATTATTATTTTAAATTATTTTTCATTGTTTTACTCTTGTTTATTCTATTTGTTTTCTTTTTATTCAACTTTTTGACTATATTCTGAAGTTTTTAAATTCTACTGCTTCTCTAAATAATAAACTTGTTTAAATTTTAACTTCAGGACGAATAATTCTGGAATGATGCTGTTATTTTTATTATTTTAATATTTTATGACTTTATTTATTTATAGGCAATTTATAGAGAATACATTTTTTAATAAACAGTTTTTATGTAAAAAATATACATTAAAAGTTTGGATTGTCTTGAAGGATTAACTTGATGTTTGTTTTTGATGGATATCTGGCATAGAGATTTAAAATTTCTAGAAAAATTGGTTTCCCCAAAAAAACGTTTTTTTCCAGAATTAAAAAAAATCGAAAGTTTGGGAGAAAACTATTTTTCTGTAATATTATTTTAAAGCATCTTTCATTGTTTTACTCTTGTTTTTTTTCTTTTTATTCAACTTTTTAACTGTATTCTGAAGTTTTATAATTCTACTGCTTCTCCAAATAATAAACTTGTTTAAATTGTAACTTTAGGACGAATAATTCTGGAAATAGGCGGCAAATGCGAATTTGCAGAAGTAAAAAAATTCCTTGACGACATTTCGAACAAACTGCCCTTCAGGGCGACTGCCGTATCCCAGCAAATGCTGGATGAAATGAATGCCAGAGAGCAATGGCAGGAGGAGAACAACCAAAACCCGTACACCATGAAATACGTCATACAAAACAACATGGGCGGATGCCGGAAGTGGCTGAAACCTATCGATTTAAAATATTTCGGAAAATATACGTAAAGAAATGCGCCTTGTATATAATTTTTTATTGTTAAGAAATACATTAATTAGTTAATGGAGTTTTATTTAAATAACCCGATAATATTTTAAAAATTTATTTAATTTAAAAATTAATGAAATTTTGCCTGTAAAGTTGCATATAAATTTTTAACATTCAAACCAAAGTTTTGCAATAATAAACGATGTTAGACATTGTCTAAACGCGGCAATTTCTATACTTTTGTGTATTCTTAGTTGCCGCCTTACAGGCGGATCGATGGACTGATGGTTAAATGTATATAATTTTATTTAGATTTAAATAATTTATCTTTTATATTTCAGATTATATTAAAAAAAGAGGAAGCAAAACTCGATCATAGGTACTATTTTTTGATAAAATATCGGCTGGTGAAATTGTGATGTGGGTGATTCTACAAAAGTTGGAAAACTTGATGTCTTCAGTCAATAGAGTAGGTATATTAATATTTTTTGTAAATATTTTAGTATATTAATATTTTTTAACTTGTCCACAAATAAAATTTTATTTTAAAATATATTCAATTTATCTTAAATTTTTCAATTTCACTACAAACTATAAAACATTAAATAATGTATTTTTCATATTTTATCATAGATTCGAATAATAGCAATTTTTAAAAAATTGATAATCTTTGTACTCACTTTTACCAGTCACACTGTGTCAAATGTTAAAATTCAAAATTCCTGCAAAATTTTGAAGTTTAAACGTCCTCGTTTTAACTCAAGTGTTGGTAAAAAATTACCTACAGAGCCCGCCCTTTGCACGACAGTCATCTTGAAAACAATGCAAGCGGCGAAGTTGTGGTGAATGCACGTATAGTTCCAGTCAAAATTTCAGTACTGTGGTGAGTAGTTATTTTCTTACGAATATATATTTCATTGTAATTTATATAAGGCTATATGTGATTTGTTGATAAGTAGCATCCACTAATAAAATTTTTTATTAAAATACTTAATTCCGAATTATAATATCAAATTTGTATCCCATTCATCAGTACCGTGTCGTCAGTTCCATGTTCGATGTTTCGGTTATCTTTTTTCGCAAACTTCAATTTAAATTCTGCTTGCGCAGAACTTGTTTATTTATGTCATTATAAACTCATATAAATTTGGTGTGGGTCCCATATCTAATAATTGAGATATCGGTATACCCAAAATCCACCAGCCGCCACTGATGTGTGGTATTATTTGATTTTAAGATATTTAATGTATAATATGCTCAAAGTTGCAATAAATCTTATATTTTCCAATAAATTATGTATTTAATTAGTACGCTGGTATACTCGTCACTTCCCTTGCATTCAAATTTAGAAAACACAGATATTTCAGAAACTGTTTGAAAAAGTGACTGGCCCGGTCTGGAACAGTATATTTATTATATTATCTATGTTCTCATAACAAAATACTGTTTAATTTTCTCCGAAAAAAATTTAAACAAAATGTTGCCCACTTTTGTAGAATCACCTATTTAAAGTTAGGTATAATCAATTATACAAAAACCATTGAAATTATAATATTTATAGTGCAATTCATTTGTAAAATGTTAATGAGGCGTCTTCATCGAAGCATTTGGGTTAGATTTGGCATTGTCATAATTTATTCGGCTAAACGAATGGTTTTGTGTCTATAAATGCAAATAAACGTTCCACTCTTCCTACATATTCTGCTTAGGCGGCCAAATTTTTCTGTGAAAATTTATGTAAATCGTCGCGCTATCCGACAACACAAATCACTGGGTCACTTAATTTAAAAATTGTTAAGATTTATTCAATTTCGACTATATTTAAATTAAATTACGAATTTATTCGAAGTAGCGCGCTCATTAGTAAAATACTGCAGTTCGAAATTAAATTTAATAAATTGTTTTTAAACATAATTTAATTTTTGTATAATGAACCACTTAAAATGCAGCTCCATTTTCTCCATCGGCTTTGCGTCATTTATATAATAAAATTAGTAAAATCTGCTTATATAAAAATCCAATGGAATTTTTTTTTTATAAGAAAAAATTACTGCCCCATACCAAATAAATTAAATATGTCCGAATTCTTTTAAAAATACTGACAAATGCAAATTATAAAATTTTACTGACTATTTCCCTCGTCTTAATTTCCACCAATCACAAACGCGCAATTTTAAATTACAAATGGTTTCTAGGTGAAAAAACTGTGTGACAGCACCTGTCAGCAGTTTTTTCGAGTTTACCCGCGGCAAAACTTGACAGCTGTTGTCAACAAAAATTGCAATTTATATTTTAATTGTTAACTGTTACTCATGAAATAGTCTTGTCAAATACCATTCGGGCATCTAATTTTTCCTGTGAAAAAAATCGAAAAAACACAATGCTAAGTAATATTTTTTAACAAAATGCATTCGTGCAGGTGCAAAAATCCTCCTCTTCGACTCGGATTTTTGTTGCCACCAGCACTCATGCTTCTTGTTAAAATATTACTTAGCAACGTGTTTTTTCGATTTTATTCGGAAAAATTAGATGCCCTTATGATATTACTTACGAAAAAAATACAAATCGTAAAAAGTAAAGGTTTTAAGGTTAAAAAATATTTAACTTTCAAACGTTTAGGCATGCAAAAATATTATACAGGGTGACTCAGATTTTAATCGGAAAAAATTTAGTAGTCGATGGAACAAAAATAAAATAAAATAAATAAAAACAAATTATAAATAAATAGAATTTAATTTAGTTAATCCAGAGGCGGTGCTGGGGCATCCCAACTGGATATTTAAATTAAAAATCAAATTTTGTACGCTACTGCTTTTTAATATTATTTTTTAATTAGGCAATTAAAAATACAATTTTCTTTCTAAAAATCGTTTATTTGCTTGCCCCTGGAAAAATTCTGGTAAGGAGCGGATAAACGAATTTAATTTTATTTTGAAAATTATGAAAGATAGAAAAAAGCACTGGCGTGAATATATTTTTTTATTAACTTTAAAAATCCTGTATCTCGTTTGAAGCATACAAGTCCATATAAACTTTTCTTCTTATTTTTCAAATTCTATTGACACCCTGTGTAATAAGAATATTTGTGAATAAAATCCCTACATTTTATTCGTAATCCCGGCGCATTCGCCATTTTTACAACTTTAAATAAAAAATCCAGAAAAGGGTTGTAGGGTAAACCACATAGTTATTGGACACTTCAGGAATATTATTTATTTAAAATTTATATATGCCGTTGTTTTAGAGATTTAAGTTTTTTTCTTATAAATATATAAAAAGGATAGTTTGTTTGTTTGAACTTTATTTACGTTTACTTAAAAATAAGAATATTTGAATTTTCAATAATGGTTTTTAAAAACATGCAAAAAAGTATGGTAATTGGACATTTTATATAGTAATTGCACACATGGACCATAGTTATTGGACATACCATTATTATACAAACATAACAACTTTACATCAAATAATATAAATTGTTAAATATTTTTTAAAGATAAATTGCTGTTTTAGGTAATTTTTTTTATTTCGTTTTTGTAAATATTATATAATTCATATATTTCTTTTTCGGATTCCTCATTCCTTTTCTAGATTCTGAAGATAACTACCAATTCCTTGGTCTGACTTCTGAAATAGTTTGTTTCAAATAATAAGTGTGATATCTTTAATTTGTGAAGCATTTATAATGTTTAGGCCGGAACAGGATGATTTATATATATCTAATATTTTTTTGGGTGGTTGTTAAAAGTATTTAAACCTTCCTTTACACACTTTATTCTATAATAGTTATTTATGTATTAAGGGCATAATAAGGTTTTTATGGTCCGAGGCGCTATTTCGAGCCCGAGCGCGTTAGCGCGAGGGCTAGAAAAGCGTCGTAGGACCATAAAAACCAGTTATGCCAGCAATGCATACAAAACTTTATGCACGATTAATATATTATTATTTTTAATAGGTATATTATTGTTTTTAAAGACGTTTACGTCAAAGAATTTTTGTTATATTTGTCATATTATAATGTCAACTGACATCAGTCAGTTTTAAAGTTTAAAGATGAATGAAATTGAGGAAGCAGCTGAAAAGGCGAATAATTGCGGCCTGCTGCCGGAAAAATCAAAATCTTTATACGAAAAAACTTACTTCGAATATATTAAATGGTGTAACATTGTTGTTTTTAATTTTTGACGTTTCATTATAGCCCGCTGGGTCATAATAACGCCCGCGGGCTATAAAAAGACGTTTACGTCAAAGAATTTTTGTTATAATTGTCATATTATAATGTCATCGTGCATAAATGTTTTTTAAACCTTCCAGTGAGAATATTCTTTGGATCATGCTATATTTCTTCTAAAGAACATGCTTAAAAGACATATAGCATGATCCTAAGAATATTCTTACTGGCCTATAGGCAGGTTCTTAGAAGGTGCAAAGTTTTAGTGGTAAAAATTAGTCTACTCTAAACATATGCTTAGAATGTTAAGAATGTAATTGCTATAGAAAGTTAATTTAGGAAGATTCCTGTTGAGCATATTTAGTTCAGTTACCTATATAATAGTAAAATATCCCATAAACTACGTATAAAGGTATATACCTATACTTAAGTACATCATTAGTAATTAATATTAAATACTAGGTAAAAAACAATCCAAAATATTTTTTTATAGTTATTTGTCAAATTAAAACAATATTCGATAACAAAAATACTTTTACTATAGGTATTTTATTTTATGTTAAAAATAAATATTTATTAATTTGTATACCGATTTTTTATTTCTGAATTAACATTTTTATGTATAATAATCCCAACTATCTTCAACTTCAATCTAATCTGACTTATCTCACAAAATTTTCCAATTTTACTTTTTATGAAATATTGTCATAAAACTTATGATTTAGAGGTCAAATTGTTTATTTAATATTTTTAAATGAATATATTAATATGTTTTTAAGGGGACGACAAATACATTTCACTGTCATATTATGACAGTGAGGCGTATTTGTCGCCTCCTAAAGAATTTTACGAATGCAGAATACAACATATTAGATCGTGGGTATCTGACATATTTGGAAAT